TTCCTGTTTAATAAAAAAGGTTATAAGGTATTTCTCCCGCCTTCTCAGTATGCCTTCGTAGTGCACTAGTCAGCACGCTGGGTGCGTATTCCAGAGGTCCGTAGTTCGATTGCCGGCGAAGGTGTTGCTCATTTTTCACTTCTCCTGCTACCAAAAAATGCCTAATGTCTCTACAAGGTTATTAAAACCTCTCCATGGCTCCTCTTACGTCTGATGGAGATAATATTACTATTTCGTAAAGTAACTCGCCGCCATGTTTTGCTGATGAGAGTGGAAAATATCAAAATGATATTTTCAGAAGTCCTTGAGTATTAATTATCTGGCAGAGTTTTCCAAGAAACACCTTTTTTTCATATGTTGTCCACGTGAGTGTTCTAAAGCGTTTTAAGTTCAGATAATTTGTTCGTAAAGTGAGGCGTTCGTGATTCGAAATTTCGATGTAAATTTTCTGTTAAATATTAACTGCACATTTTTCTCATAAAAAAAAAAAAAAAAAAAAAAATAAAAAAAAAAAAAAAAAAAAAAAAAAAAAAAAAAAAAAAAAAAAAAAAAAAAAAAAAACAAAAAAAAAAAAAAAAAAAAAAAAAAAAAAAAAAAAAAAAACAAAAAAAAAAAAAAAAAAAAAAAAAAAAAAAAAAAAAAAAAAAAAAAAAAAAAAAAAAAAACAAAAAAAAAAAAAAAAAAAAAACAAAAAAAAAAAAAAAAAAAAAAAAAAAAAAAAAAAAAAAAAAAAAAAAAAATAATAGTGAAATTTTGTATACTTTAAGTTCCACAGTCGTAAAAGTAATAGATTGATTTTATTTCTTCGACATAATCTTTTTATTACTTAGATGTTATAATAGAACTATTCGGTACAAAACTGAAGAAATATTATCAGTTTATTCTGAGTTTTTGTGATCAGTTATTACAACGAATACTACAGGGAATACCTTTTATTGGGGAAAAGAAGCAGCTGGGTAAAAATTGGGGAAATGTATTTTTTGCTTATTCTCACATGTTTATTACATCGAGAAATAATAACTTTACGAATTCAACCTCATTATAGTAGCAATATAAATGATCTTGAATTGGAGAATAATCTCTCTATCAGTTAAGATGCTAGGTTTAGTTGTTTAAATATGCCAAGGAATACGAGGGCTATCTTCGTAAAGTAAGGGACTTCTTCGTGGAGGATTTTTAAAGGAAACTACGTTGTACTCACTTTACACATGAAAAAAAAAAAAAAAAAAAAAAAAAAGACAACTACGAAAACTAACCCTGCCGCCAGCCCATTCCCCCCCCCTAGGATCGAACCCAGTCGAACTATTAATATTCAACGTTATTAACCACTCGCAGCCCACTAGTGGGGCTCTATTCATTAAGGAAATACTAAATACAGATAGATCCACGTTAAAATTAACACAAAATTAAAATAAGAATAAAAGCAATATTAAATCTCCTCGAAAAACTTGAATAATTATTGAACACTATAATGTGAAATGCTAACTTCAAAAAGCACATTTATATTTTCACCTCTCCCCCCTTTTTTAATGTTTATATTGTTTTGATTTGGTTTATTTAATTACGGCAAAGCATTCTGCTGGCTATCTGCCTAAGGAAGGGATACTTTCATGGCGGACTTTTTAAAGGAAACTGGTTCTTATACACTTTACTCATGGGAAAAATCACGAAAACCCCATGCAGAGATCCCGTTTGCTTAGAATCCAACCCATGTCGAACTACCAGTGTTCAACGACTTTATCGCTCGGCATGTGGTGGACCTTTTAATGTTTATGAAAGATGATACAAGGGGGATATCGTTTTGGCAAATGAAATTAATAATTTTTTAAAAAGTTGTGCATGAATCACTTGTAGACAATTCACAACTGAAATGACAGAATAATGCCTCATTGAATCATCATTTAAAAAATTCTAGTCTGAAAATAGAAGAGAAATATTCTAATCCTAAAATTTCAAATTAAAGTTTAATATCTCAAAATGTTTACCATTAACGTTAAAATATGATTTTTTTAAAATTTAAAGATGCAAAATTTCTAAGATTAAAAAATATCTACAATCTCGTGTTGGCGTGAAGATTTCTTTTCAACACCTAAAACCGTTTTAAACTAAACGTTAAGATACGCTTATTCAAAGGCGTAGCTAGGATTTTTGGCGCCCGGGAACAATTGAAGATTTTGCGCCCCTTTCTCTGCGCCAAGAACGGAAAACATTTCATTCTAAAATTTCGTAGCATCAATTTGGCGCCTCCTGAATGCTGCGCCCCAGGACAGATGTCCCCCCTTGCCCCATCCTAGCTACGCCACTGCGTTTATTAGTTTAAGAGTAGTACTCCAGATATTAAGATACAGAATATAAAATTTGATAATTAAAATCATTTGTTCAAAATGGCAAATCGAAATGAAAAAAATTTATATGATATTACCTTAGCTTAAATTAAAGGATGTGGAACATGTACACTAATTTACTAAAGAAAAGACTTACTTATTTACGATATTTAAGTATTTGTAATTGTGCATGCATTTCAATCGATCAATTTACGGCAAATATTTCCCTTACGTAGCAAGGCTTTTTATTTTGCCTGGACGCCAGATGAGATGACTGAAAACAATAAAATCTTTTCGAAGTGTTACTGAAAACAATTACTAAAATGAATAAATACTCAAAGAGGTGAATGTGAATTTTCAGATCACGCCTGAAAGCTGGTACTATAAATTTTGATCTTCGCAATATGAAACAAACGATCCAAAGTTGTAATAAATGTGATTCATGATATTTATGTATCGTAACAAGAAAAGACCCTTAGCATGATCATTTTTGTCCCCGTGGCAACTTTTATTTTGAAAACAGTAACCAAATTATAAACTATATGACGAGGAAATGCATTACTTCCAGTAAATTCCTCGATGATATCAATTTCAAGTCTTCCATTTTATTATTTTTTAGTTATTTTTTACTCTAAGCATGTATGTATCTGTATTCTTACTCAGTTCTTGTTAATTTAGTTATTCAATGGGACTTAAAAAAAAAAATTCGCTTGCGATTTTTAAGTCCCATTGAATAGCTAAATTATTTTCCTCAGCTTTCGAATGGCGTCTGTTCTTTTTCAAACTACATTAGCATATCCATATCAAGATTCTTTGTAATGTCGACTACTCATGTCATATCATCGACATGAGTAGTCGATATCGATCAGTCGACTACTCATGTCATATCTGTCGAAGACTCATGTCTATCATTATGTAACGTTAAATACTGGATTATTTTACATATACTAAAATTTTTTTTAAATTAAGTACGATCAGTACGTAAGGTCATAGATGTGGCTGTGGTCATAGATGTGGCGACGGAAGTATTCTACTACATTTATCAGGTTCAGTGTTCCGCCTTACTTTCTTTGGGAACATGCACAGACCTGACTCGGAACAGGGAGCTTACTAAAGCTATGTTCAATAAATGTGGGAAGTAGACAAGATGCACATTTAACTAAACTCTAACTTAATTTTGGAATAATAAACAAGGGCCTACGTGGAAGATTGGCCTTATATTAACAGGAAGCTGTATGTAGTACAGAGAACTGTTAACACTACAATACGTTTAAAAATTATCACGAGGATTAAACCTCTGGCCTGGAAGGCAACCAGCAACCGAGTAAAACTGCTAAGGTAAGCGGCCTGCTTCGACTAACTCCTTCTTCTCTCTCGCTTGGCAAAAAGCCACAACTTAAGTACTTGGCGTTTTCGCCAGACAAATTTGCATAAATAAGTTAAAGCTTTTAATTCTGGCCGGAAGTAGAAAATAAGAAGTAATAGTAAAGATTTAAAATAAAAATAAACGTTAGTAAAACTTAAGATCCTTACATACTTCCCGCCAGAGTTAATTAGTTTGAAACTGAGATCTAAAACGACCTTGTTGAAAACTTTTAGCTCTAGAATCTAACGCGAGGCCAATCTTTTACAAACATTTCTCACTAGAAACTAGAAATTTAAAAAAAAAAAAATTTGTTTTTACAATATCAGCTCCATGGACAACCAATTTTTCATCTGTACTGCATCTAAACAGGAGCTTTTATTCAAATCTGGTTACTTCCAGTGATCTGGAAGGAAAACTAGTAACCGAGTAAAACTGCGAAGGTAAGCGGCCTGCTTCGACTAACTCCTTCCTCTCTCGCTTGGCAAAAAGCCACAACTTAAGTACTTATCGTTCGCCAGTAAAATTTGCATAAATAAGTTAAAGCTTTTAATTCTGGCCGGAAGTTGAAAATAAGAAGTGATAGTAAAGATTTAAAATAAAAATAAACGTTAGTAAAACTTAAGATCCTTACACATTTACCAAAGTTAACAATTTTTCTCTAGTGGACAATAATTTTGTTCAACTTTTAAAAGCTTTTTATTAAACAAGCCAACAACATTTTCTTGACCATCTGTTTCTTTCATTTGCTTTGATGTGACAACATTTCAACCTGAGCTTATATCTTATATGCTCTGTATAATGATTTTCCCATACAGTAGCAAAAATTTAACAATGCTATGAGAAGATTGAATGGGAACATTTAATCTTCATATTAGTCACAGCAGATTATAAAGTTTTCTTTTCTAATTTTGTATCTCTTTTTTACAGCTTCTCGTCAACTGCAAAAGTTTCTTAATTAATTTCATAAAAATATATTTAATGCACGTCAGCTCTTTATTTAATTTTCCTTCCAGGGTATCTACTTTCTCCTTCAGTGCGTATATCTTGTATATTTTCTGTTGTAACATGATTCGTATATTTCCTGTTCATTATGACAGTGTTTTCCGTCCTTCTACAGAAAGCCGAAATCATTATTTTGCCTATTTATAGAATTCATTCGATTCTTTCGTGCAAATCTGCGGAAATGATTTTGATAGCTTCATTGCTAACGATAGCTTGATTGTTAAGAACGTGATTTCTCCTGAATATGAAACAGTGTTTTTTCAATTAACATATTAATAATTTTCTAGATTTTTATTTATTTATTTCAGATGGTGGCCCAACTGTTGCGATCCTTCTGGAATACGATGCGCTGCCAGAAATAGGCCATGCTTGCGGCCACAACCTCATCGCGGAGGCTGGATTAGCTGCCAGCGTTGCCGTGAAAGCAGCCATGGAAGCGGATCCTCATTTAGCTGGAAAGGTGAAAGTTCTTCTAGTTATGGTGACTATAATGTGTGCATTAAGAATGATACAGTCAAAAGTCGTTAATCCGGACTCGTCGGGACTTCGGCGATTCCGGATTATAGATCATCAGTTTAAATCTGGTAAGATGGCATGCAGAAATTATAAAATTAAAAATATGAAACCGTAATTTATGAAATAAAGAACAATTATGATCTAAAGGTTATCAAAATTTACAAAAAATAAAGCTTAATATTTATTTGTTTACTTTATTAAACATTTCTTTCAATGCAAGTTGTTTAAGTTGCTTCGTTTTTTATGTGATAATATTTTCTCTTTAATTCTATAAACAGACATAATTTCTTGTTCAGTTACAAAGTTCCGCTGTCCAAGTCCTATAATTGCTGAGTCGAGAATACCGACTAACTTGTCAATCGAAATTTTTTCGTTTTCAATAACCTCTGTGTCACCTTCTTCGCTATCGGAAGCGAATTATAATGACGAGGAATTTGATTTAAATCATATCAAAGACGGAGTACATCGAGATGAAATACTACATTTAGTAAGGAATTATAAGCCAAATAAAATAAAAACATCTGTCCTGAAGATAAGGATAGTGCTGACAGATCAACTTCCAATTCATTGCGCGCCGCGACGTTTCCCCCCCCCTCCCGCCGCAGAGCAGCTTGAAATTGATAAACAGATTTCGGAATGGTTAGATAAACAAAGGATATGCCTTTATCCATTTTTTGCAGCGATTCTACTTTTTGTTTAATGGACTTCGAAACATACTTTCGCTTTGTAGATCCTTTAGATATTAGTAAATATATATCGGAAATTCTATTTGACATAATCGAAAGTTTAAGCTTACTTATATAAAATTGCTCTAACAGTCTGCAAAAAATAATAAGCCGGATCCAATTCGAAGATTAAGGAACAACGCAATCTGCAACATTAACTGAATTAGATAATTTTAGCTTAGCTTATACCGTCCGTTATACATTAAACGCGCATGCGTAAACGTATTTTCCGCATGCGCACACGCATATTCGCAGCCGTAAAAGTTTTTCGCGCGTCGCAAAGCATGCGAAGAAAGTTTGTAGCTTTGAGGTCCGGATTATAGATTATTCCGGATTATGAGTGTCCGAATTAACGACTTTTGACTATATCAATTTATTATGTATGTGAATAGCATAATGTGACCAGATTTTAACATTGGTAAAGCGCGACACAATTGACCGGGGGAAGTGATTAAACAGAGGAACACAAATTTTCATAGAACGAAAAATCGTATTGTAATATATTTTTAAAGTTTCAACACAAGTACAATTTACAAATACATTAAAAGCAAATACGTATAGTATTATTTTATTCTTTGGCGTATTTCTCGTTTGAGTGAATTTTGTTTAGTAGATTGCTGTCGTTGTTTGAAAGGTCCTAAAATTTTTCACAAGAATTTGTTAAATTATATTTCACACATAAAATGGCTTTCAAAGTCTCAACACTTAATTGTGATTTTTCTGAGGTCCGCACTTTATTTACCGTAGAAAGAAAAAAAAAAAAAAAAAAAAAAAAAAAAAAAAAGCGCTCAGTCACAGCATTAGTTCCTGGGGTATTCCACAGTTTTTAGTGCATTATTGTACGGAACATAGTTTGTTTCAAAATGATGAAATATTTCTAACCATTGTGATTTTCGCTGATGTCCAAGATTTAACCTTTTCCTTATCAATATATATTTTAATAATAATGTCTAATTATAAAGATTATTTTCAGAAATATTACTATATGGAAAATTTTGAGTAATATGATCGAATGATTTTTGCACATTCCAATTAAGTTCTTGTTTTAATACAATTAGCTTGTCGTTTATTCTTCCTACAAATCGGGACTTTTATAAAAAGCCGCGGAATGCGGGACAAACTGTTAAAAATCGGGACTGTCCCGCCAAAAGTGGGACGTCTGGTCACCTTAGAATAGCACCAAGATGCAGGGTATATGAAATGATCAAGAGCTGTAAATTAATCAAATTTTATTAAATACACTGAAAGGCGGCGGAATCATATTTCATGCTGTATATATCCACCCAGCGGTTTAATCCTAGTATCCGGTGCACACGGGATTTGGCTACTTTTGGCGACTTTTATGAGGAGCAGTAAAAACGGGACATATACGATGAGTAGTAAACGGGTATTCAAAGAATATATATAGTTATACATAGTATATACTATGTATATAGTGATAGTATATAGTGTATAGTATACTATCACTATATATACATAGAACATTCCTTTGGTAATTTTTGGTGTTGGCGATAATTTTCAAAATCGCGCTAAGGCTGCACCGTATACTAGGATTTTACCCACCCAGCTTTCAGTACCACAGTCTAGTGATGCCATCTGGTGGTGAGAATTTTAAATAATTATAGCTCGTGAGACTGAAGCAAAGTTGTTCATTCATTTCGCCAACTAGTAATGAGGCTATGGCGATAGAAACTTTGGTTGCTTGGCTGATGATCCAAGATGAAAGTGATCTTTTAACATTCATCAAATCAATACTGGGATCTTCGTTGTTCGTCATAGATCCCATAGAAAGCAATCACGGATCTTCAAAGACTCAGCTGTCTCAATTTAAGATACATTTTTATGAAGGTACAGTAGAAAAGAGTTTCTAAGTGTCGTGAGAAGCATACCAGTGTCACGCCGGTATAGGGGGAATAGTATAATTAGTAGACGGCAAACTTTCCATTAACATGACAAAAGGCCATGAAAAAGAATACATATTCTAAATCTTCTTTTACTGTTTCTAGGGCTTAATTTCTAAACTTGAAGTGCGAGAGCCATATAGAAGACTGTCAGGAAAGAACAAAAATAAATAAATAAATAAAATGACTAGTAAAATGGTTAATAATTAAACAATTAAATAATTAATTACTAAATTTGCATGATTAATCATTAGAATAATTAATATTAAAATTTAATAAAATGTAAAGATATAAATAAACATATAAGTTATTAAATTAATTATGAGTAATTAAATAATAAAATAATTCGATTTTTTGAGGTTTCGGCTAGAATTTCGCACAAAAAGTAAGAAATAGCTCAACCGGTCCTCCGGTTTAATTTAAGCTCTGAATATAATGTACTACTTCAAGGGATGATAGAAATAAAGACCATTCTTTTTTCGGCACTCGAATGAAAAACGTTAAAATGGTTAAAGCGTCACTAATGAAAATACATTAAATGCTGTATGCAGGAAGGGGATATAAAGAAAATTTTAACGGATGACCTGTAGGCATGAAAACAGAAAGAGAAGTCTCGAGCATTTTCTGACAACGCTATCGTCTCAGTATAATTCTAACTATGAAGAAAAATATGACAGAGGAACAAATTTTCACCGAATACGAGGGTTAGTTGAAAAAAAAAAAAAAAAAAGTAACAAGTGACAATTTTCATCCCCCCGTCTTTGGTTACATCTTTTCAAAATTTCTGCAGGTGCCTTTTTTCAGCGGGAAGACTATAGCGTTGGAACGAAAATTTACCCGCTGCATAAATTCATTGTACTTTCTGGAGAATAAGCTTTTAACATGCAGGTGGGGGCTTTTCTTTCCATTTAAGTCTCTACCTCCATCCAGGATTTGTTTCCCAGGGAAAGAGAAGCATGCATTCAGAATTTAGAATCGATTTTTAATATAATTTTATTATTAACAATACAATTTTCTACATCAGATTTCCGCTGAACTTGCTGTTCAGTTACAATAAAGAAGCGGTGGAGTCTTCTAAATTTAGGACTCCGGTGCATTCTGGCACGAATTTTGATTCATGGCCAGAGTTAAGAGCCTGGATCCGGCGCAATTTAAGCTCTGATTATTATTATATATTTCATAATTAATAGCTCTATTAAAGAGTTAATTAATTCAAAATTAACATCACATGAAATTAAGTGGTTTTGTTTTCTTTTACATTGCATATATTAACGCGGATGCCAGAACTATTGCAACTAATATATTCACACCAGGCGGCAAACTCTTAGAACCCTGTAATTTTGTTTGTTTAACGAGACTTTCATTTTGGGGCAAAAGCCATAACGCCAGACATTCCAAATGTGTTCTTTGCCTTCTCCTGTGGTGTTATTCACGAATATTTGTATAATGATAACAGGAGAACTTTGTTTCTGTAGTTTCAAAATCAAATCACAAATTAAAAGAAAACTATATTTATGAGATAAAAATAATATTTCTTAATATGTGGTATGAAAATTTGACAATAAAGGTCAATTAGTAATATCAGTAAGGGTCATTATTTATGTTACACATTAATCAGTCGTCAAGATTGATTGACAATAAAGGTCGAGATGTAGAGCTGGGACATTGGTGAGGTAAGTGAGTCACTTGCTTCAGGTGAATGGCTAGAATGCGCGCCAAAATTACCGCGTTTTAGAAATAAATAAATTATGGTTGTTAACTTTCAATTTGTTTTCAAAGTATTACATTTAGAGCAATAAAACAGGCACTACTTTTTAAGCACAGGCGTATTTATGTATTTTTCATTTTCCTTAATAAGTTAGCAAAACCAATCAAGAATTTATTTCAGTTATTAACGATTTATTTAATGTGAGACAGTAAAATCATTATTACGTATTTTATATAATTTTCAACTCGTTACTGTTGTTTTATATATATAGATAATTATAAGTAAGGTTGTAAGAACAAACGAACTAAGACCAATTTTGGTCAAAATTTTGCGCATTGTGCTGCAAAATTAAGGAAATTAGAAGATAAATTTTAGTACGCTCGCCAAAAAGTTACCAAAACTGTGGCTCCGTCAAAACTCCAACATAAGCATATTTAGTTGCTATGAAATGTGTGAAACAGGAGAAAAACTATTTGAATATTTACAAGTAAAATTAATAAAAGAGCTATATGCTAAACAAATTAGGTAATTTTAGCACAGTAAAAAAACAAATCAATTGAACGAGGTAAAATATAGTAGCCTATTGCTAAACGAAAAAAGTAGATTATAAAACACAATAAAATACTAATCAATTGATCAAGGTAAAATATAAAAAATATTAAAATTAAGAAGCGGTAAATTTTTAATTAGCCCAATACGAAGTTTACTTTGGTTTTTCAGGGGAACTTTTTTTAATGAATTTCGAACCAAGCTAACTCCATTACGCTTTTCGCCGAAACAGACAAATGAAACTTTGCGCGACAAATTTTTTAATGAATTAAATAAACTATGTTAAAAAACTTAAGTCTCAATTCTCTGTTCCAATTTCCCGACGCGTCCGCATATATTGAAACATTAAGGCATTAAGGAACATTAAGGAAACATTAAGGAACATTAAGGAACATGAAACATTAAGGAAAGGCAATTCCAATGTACAGAAAAAAAAATAAATAAATAAATAGCGGTATGCTATTAGTCAAAATATACAAGAATATGGGTTGGACCTGCGAGCAAATACCTCATATTTACCATTGCCATGAATTGAAGCATATAGCCTCTTTAAGCAACTCATTTTAAAATTTTATTTGTGAAATTTAATATAACAGTTCGCAAAAAAGGTAAATAAAGCTATAATATCAAAAACTTTAATTGTACATAAACATAGAATTAAACATGAAATCGCACCAAGTGAGTTTGGCTGCATGAATATTTTCATAGGTTTTCCCATGTGTAACGTAAATACTAGTCAATCTTCTTCATAAGATCTTCAAGTTATCCTTTTTTTTTAGGAGAATAGCCCCCCTATTCCTTGCCATATTAAATTTAATTAATTAATTAAAAATCTCAACAATTTCAAAGCGAGCAGTGGCAACACTGTAGAGAATAAAACTTTTTAATCTCGTGAGCGAGACTGTCTATTGGAAATTCTTAAAGGTATGCTGTTTTTTAATTATTTTTAGGAAAATGTGCTGTTAGGCCAAACGTTCTCGAAACGAGCACGTGTCTGCAAATGAAAAAAGTCTGATGTGTACACCACGTGACTTCCTTGTACGGAATATTAATTAAATTATACGCATTTTTTCTTGCATTTCATTTAAACTTATTAGATTGAATTAAACCTACTTCGCCGACAGCACATAAACCACAATAGAATAAATGCATATTTTAAAATTCACTTTGTTTACCCTAGCGACACTCTGGCGCTAGGTTTACTTAACAGTATCATATTTCGTTCATATTATAACTCAGAATGCAAACAATTTACATCATTTAAAGAAATATCAAATCGTTGCCACATGTTCTCTTCAAATACTATAATAAATCTAGAACTATGTATAAAAGAAATTAAGCAAACAAAACAAAAAAGGAACAGTTTTTCACAGACGATTGACTATTTCTCATTCAATTAATTCAGTTTTCACTTCGCGACAAGGCAAAAATACATAAAAACTCAAAATATCTGTATTAAAAATTACGAAGTAAATCTGAAACGCTTATTTCCTCGAAAAAATTCCAAAAAGGATTAAGCATGATTTAAACAATAAATGAAGGCGTTATCTTTGTTGTTGCGAAGCTAAGTTTCTCTAGATTGGCAACAAATCCACTATCCTGCTGTTTCAAATGTAAACAAGAGCAATGGCCGCCATCAAAAACATTATTAAGCTAAGGGGCACTTAAACAATTTTAAAATTGTTGATAATTCTAAAAATATTGCATACAGATTTACTAAAGGCATAAAACCTTAACCGGGAGATAAGAACAACATAATTCAATCATTTTTAAAGCAAAAAATGTACAATTTAGAAACATATAAGAGTAAAGAAACTGAGATCACTGAGCCGGGTAACAGAGTGGATATATATATAAATATATTTATATACGTTTGGTGCAGCCGATTGTAACCAAAATACGGGGTGCACATCTACATGTTATAGCAGCCCTATATACAAATTTCAACGTTCTGAGGCTACTCGTTTTTGAGTTATGCGAGATACGTACGTACGCACGTACGTACATACGTTCGTACAGACGCCACGAAAAATTCTCTTCAGAATTCATTTTAAAGCAGTTTTATAATTTTTTTTGGAGGAAAAGAGTGTTTTATTCTGTCCTTACATACAGATATCAATGAAATACATCGTTAAATTGCATTTGAAAGAGGTCAAAATGGGATATTTTCGTTGAAATATGCTGCGTGAAACTTTTCGCGATTACAATACTTCCTTTTTACTTCGTACAAGGAAGTAAAAAAAAAGGCCTTTGGGCATAATGTAAAATCTGAAAGCTTTCAGATTTTTTAAAATGTTTTCAATATGAAAATAGCTTTTGCTTTACACCTGTGTAATCTGTTATAATATTAAACAACATAATTAAATTGCAATATTGTCGAATGCAACAAATTTAGCAAATTACGCGCATGTGTTATAAAGTCGGTGAAAAAATTATAACAAATGATACAAAAAGTGCAGTTAATTTCTTAGAACTAAAACTGATTTTTTGTCTTTTCAGTTGATTGTTCTGGGCACTCCTGCCGAGGAAGGTGGGGCAGGAAAGATACGTTTAATTGAATTGGGAGCCTTTAAAGGAGTAGACATAGCTCTGATGGCCCATCCTGCTAGATTAAACGTAGCCGCTCCTCCTTTTTTAGCTATAGTCAGGGTAAGTTGAGTTGACTAAAATATCTTTATTTCCTCATTTTTCGTGACACTTGCCCGTGGACATGTTTATGAAGGAAATATATGATTAAATAAATTAATAAATTTGTTAATTGATCTTTTAGGTTTCAAATTAGCATACTGTCATAAAATGGCACCTTTGCATTTGAAAATTACGAGTCTATTAAGAAATGGAATCGAATGGTTTTACGAAAAGAAAAATTTATATATGTCATACATGTGAAAATTAAATAGGAATTATGAAATTTCTAATTTTTCAAACCGTTTACTGTTGAAACGAAAACAAGTGAAAAACAGAAGTATTTCTTTATCATTTGTTTAAACAATGATAGAGTTGTTGGTACTTGAGCACTATAGTATGAATTGTGAGGCGTGAATTCTGAATATTTTAAGAAATATTTTCGGAAAAGTTTGTGGCCAGTTTAATAAAATTATCTCAAGTTAACCCCAATTATGGAAATAAAGTAATAGAAAAAAATGTTTGAAGTGGGTAAAATGAATATATCATTTGTTATTATTTATTTCATAAAATATACTCAAATCTATCACAAAAGCTTCTAATCTTGATGTGTAGTCTTAAAAAATATATATGTATATAAAATTGGCAATGGTAATACATTTTATAAAAATTATCTATATGGTCACACGCAAAGACAATTAATTCTATCTCTCAAATATAGAAATTATGATATCAGCGAATAAACCGCAAAAGTATTTCTCAATTAAAAAGGGCAAAAAATGCATACCCAATAAAGATACGTAGATCTCTTATTAAGTCGCATCTCATGCTTTAAAAGAAAATCCAAGCTTCCCACCCCCAAAGAGCTACTGCAAAATCTTTAAATATACTGTGAACAAACAAAATTATAAAATATGATTTAAAGCTAATCAAAACAAAAGAACATGATGTTTCTTAGACCTAATGCCGATATATGTTTCTCAGAGTAAGGACTATGCGCAGATTGCTGTATGAAAAGTATCTGGCAGGCGACAAATGGAAATATATAGTTACAATTGATGAGGCATGAATATACTTATGCTTGCAACAGAAAAGATCCATTTACGGCCAAAAAAAAAAAAGTTTTAATATGTTGGTTCAGAGAAAACAAGGAAGGTTTTTCTAAAGGTTTTATGGTTATTATTACTGGATTCCCTTATAACGGAAAACTTAAGCTAAGGAAAGTAGAAAAAGTTAGAAAATTAATTCGGATTGCTATCAGAAATATATTTAAATATATATTTTTAAAGAAAAAATTCTATCTCTTTATCCAAACAATCTCCACTGTGTTAAGTACTATCAGAATAAGGCTCCAAGCCATACCTCTAAATCTACTGCTCTATTTTTTTGAAAAAATGACAAATAAAATCGAAATTAAGCCATTCTCTCTAAATGCATCCCAATCAAGTTCCCTGATGTGTCTCGTATGGATTAATGTCCATTTTGACTTTTAAAAGAAGCTCTTTATAAGCGGCATCCCAAAACATTGGATGGACTTCGATAGATTGTGAAGGAGAAGTGGAATAAAATCAACCTTGACGTTTTAACAAAAGACTTTTATCTTGATTATCAAGGGGTAATAATGATAGTTCAACAAAAGGGTTATCAGACTGAAAATATTCTAAAACAAAATTCTAAGGTTTGCTTATATATAAACCTTTGCAAATTCGATACAAAAATATGTATCTAATATACTCTTTGTAGAATCACAAAATCATTTATGAAATCTATTATAGATGTTTTAGTATAAAAGTATAAAAACCTGTTTTTGAAAAGTAAATCACAAACCATGAGGTAATTATTATTACATGTTGAATGGAATCTGAATCGCTAAGTTTGAAATTTGGCGTAAAATGCCACTGAGGTGCCTTGGCTATCAAATGGGCTGGCTACAAAAGGCAAACACATTACAGTAGTATAGTACTTAATCAGTCGTTTCAATTGCCCAAGCATTGACAAAGTAATCATCGATTTCAGTTTCCATCCAGCGCACTATAATCCGACAGTTGAAAGAGTATACTGAGAAAACTAGCCCATCGGGGCAAATTGTGAAGGACAATTAACCTAGAACAAGCGTGGTGTGAGACGGCTCAGTCGTATTGTATATAGTCAACGAAGCCAAAAATAAGCTCAAATTACCACCCAGCTGAAGCAGGGCGGCAGTCGTACAGTTAGTAAAAGGACTGTACAACGCTTGCTTCACCATATGGGCTTCGGAAACCTTAGATCCACGACAGTATCTTTGCTGAATGCATATCATCGAGATTCGCTTCTTGCCTGGGTAAGAAAATACAAAGAATAGACTCTAGTAGACTTGAAATGAGTAGCAAGGAGTGATGATTCTCGATTCCGACTAGTTAATACCAATGAGAGACTGAGAATATGACGTCATACTCATGAAGCCATGAACGCTGTATGACAGATTGGAATTGTACAAGGCCATCGTGGCTTACTCATGGTCTGATAAGTTTTTTTTCCTGGCAATTTTTGGGATCTTTGGTACTTGTAACAACCTCCCTCAATATGATTCGGTATGTAGAGTTGCTGGATCATCATCTCTATCCATTTATGTTGTCCTGTCATTCACACAGAAATGGAGTATCCTAGCAAGATAACTGCACCTGTCACTGGTCCTGGCTGGCTACTGCCTGGTTGGGATGAGCGTTCTTCTGCCTTTTCTGTCATAAATTGGCTACTTAAAAGCCCTGACTTAAATTCTACTGAGCATCTTTCGGACGTTTTGGAGAAAGGTTTGAAAACTCATCAAACGATGAGGATGAGCGTTCTTAAACTTCTCTGTCATAAATTGGATACTTAAACGCCCTGACTTAAATTCTACTGAGCATCTTTAGGACGTTTTGGAGAAAGGTTTGAAACCTCATCAATTGATGAGGATGAGCGTTCTTAAACTTTTCTGTCATAAATTGGCTACTTGAAAGCCCTGACTTAAATTCTGTTGAGCATCTTTCGGACATTTTGGAGGAAGGTTTGAAATCTCATCACACAACACTAGCGACTCTTCCTAAATTATAGACAGCTCTATCCGATGTTTGGCAAGCCATTCCCTAGAATGCTTCCACAAACTTATTAAATCTATACTTCGTCGTTTGACAGCCATTATAAAAGCCAGAGGAGGCCCAACTCGTTATTGACTAGCTATCCCTAATTCAGTGTAGTATATTTCTATCGTGTTATTTTAACATTTAAAGCTATATAAGGACTTCACATAACCTCATGTTTGTCAATGATTTAGCACCCTCTCCGGAAGAACAAAAAGTTAGTAAAGTGGGATTTAATTCTCTTTTGATTACTGAAGTTAATTGAATGATAGAATATTTTCCAGGCTACAGTGGAATACAAAGGAACAGAAGCCCATGCTTCTGCTTCTCCATGGAAAGGACGGAATGCCCTGGACGCCGCAGTCGCATGCTATCAAAATATAGCTTTACTCAGACAGCATATCAAACCCAGATGCAAAATGCACGGTAAGGATGCCATTTTGATATTTCTTAAAACTCAGATTAGCTTTCTTCCATATCATTCATGCATAAAGTTTTTCTAGGAAAGGATATTGCTTGACAAAAAATTGATCAGTAGCTACGGATTCTACCCCCAAAATACTGATTTGTTCAAAGTTTCGTAACGAAGAAAGATAATACCATAGAATGCGAATTCAATAGACAAGTTACAGAATACTGGTTTAAAGCACGAAAAACGTTAATTAAATCGAGACAATTATTCCTTGTAATGGGATTCGATTATAATTTATTTTTCGTAAATAGAAAACAATAGTGAAGTGGGCGGGGCGATGTCATGGAGGAAAGTGAAATGTGCATGAAATCATTTTGTGTATAATAATTATAATATTGTTTTAAATATGCACGAATATGGGGCCATTTAAAACGCTACTTTTCTGCTGAATAGTTTCTTTATTTTCCATATCCAACTAATAAATGTTAGTCGTCCCGACGAGAAAATGGTTAGTGACTCTGGCTGCCGTACCGAAGGGCACGGGTTGGAATCCTGAAGAAGGCATGGATGTAAATTCTCTGTTTCTTCCTAGGAGGTAACGATGGCACGGCCAACTGGAAGAAATTCACGAAGGTCACGACGGTGGCCGCCCATAAGGTACCTCCCTAATAAAATGACCACCGCTTCTGGCCTAAGTAGTGGCCAAAGCCTAAAAATGGGTAGTGCCCGCTATTTCAAGGGAGGAAAAACCCTAACATATACTGTGACAACGTAGTAATTAAGTACATGTTGTTATTGTGACTACTTGTCCAACACTAGCATCAAAACAAGCCTACAAAATTCCCCGTGGTAAGGAATGCAAGATTGCACCTGTCTTTGGCAAAAGTCTTGAGCAATCGTACTGTCATCTCTACTCTTGTCTTTGTCAAGAGTACAGATGGCAGTACGACTTTGCTTAGTTCCGTTCCAGCACCCTGGGGAACGGGTCCAAGGGTCTCTCACTCCTCTCGTCCCCTACCACTAACCACTCGAGAGGACTGTCAGTTGGCCGCATAGTTAGAATGCCCTCATGTCGCACAGACACTATACATTTACAAACCTCTATGCCATATCTGGGATTCAAACTCGGGCCTTTCGGTACGGCAGTTGCTAACCACTATCCCAGTTGGGCGGCGCTAAGTACATTTCACACAGTTAAGTACATTTCGTTGATTTCTAATGTAAGAATTATGTTAAATGATTGGAATCTAAGCAGTAGAACAAACGTAACTGCTATCTCTTTTATTTTTTTACAACATTGCCTCGTTCTTACAGAGAAATTTGAATTTTTTTTATCATAATTATGTATTTTTTCACAGCTGTGATCACGAAAGGTGGCATCATCCCGAATATCATTCCAGCAGAATCCTGCTTGAAACTGTTCGTGCGAGCGCCAGACAAAGTCGAATTGAGAGAACTGCGGACCCGAGTCGAAGCTTGCATTACAAGTGCTGCGACAGCAACTGGATGCGAAGTAACTTACAATTTCGCAGAACAGGACTGTTATGAGAACTTGATAACGAATAAAGTTCTAGGCAATTTATATCAGACATATGCAGAACGGCTAGGTATATAACATATTCACATATTTTTTCTCAATTTTTTTTAAATACTCAATAACAATAATAAAAACACATGAAAATAGAAACTAGAAATTATTTTTGCCATGCTTTTAATGTCTTGCTTCATGTCTTATAGAAACGGCGCGTTTTGGTTTTGAAATGCAATGACATATCATGTATGAGGATTTGTTTTTATTCTCACAGTTTCATCCTACAGGGGCTGTTCACACATTTTTTAGACGATGTATATTGTATTCACAAAAACTAAATTACATAAAATTCTTGTGTTTTAAATGTTCTATTTGACATCCCTTATTCTGAACTATCTTTCGACACCGCAATTTCCGGGATAATAATGCCTTTTGAAGCGGCAGAAGAGATATTCTATCCCACTCCTCCCGAACAGCTTTCCAGAGTCCTGTTAGGGTTTGGGGACAACGTTTGGATAATGCAGTGTTTAAAAGTCCGAAAGCACAAAAATCCATAGGTGACACATCGGGAGATTTAGTAGGGATATCAGTGAAGGGTATGGCCTTGATACCAGTTTTTGTTCCATTTCTTTTAGGAAATTTACAGTGGATTTTGATGTGTGACTGCTTGCTTTGTCCTGATGGAGTCTCAAAGATTGATGGCACTGTGGGTAAAGCGATGGTATTTCATTCAGAAAAATTGGTGATAAAATGTGTTCCTGATAGTATTTGGAGTTAATCTTGACTTTTTTTTGCACTCTCTTTATTTTTAACTTGTCATTATAAGAAAAACCATCAACAATCATGAATCCCTTAGAAAATCTTTCTTTCAATTCTTTGAACCATGTACTTAAATTTGTTCTCCCTTTTTATGATAATAAATGGCTCTTTAAATACACCCATGCTTCATCTATTGTGACAATTGTTTTCCATTTTTCTTTGGATAAGTGTTTCTCATATAGAATTCTGCAGCGTGTCCTGCGTTGAACGATATGCTTTGGAAAAAGATGATGCACATTGCGTTTTTTCGCTATCTTAAGATTAAATCAACGTTTATCATTTTGTTTACAGTGGACACCGAGCATTTTAATGATTTTGCAGCTGTCCTTTGACTAGGGGGATTTTCGTTTAACATTAAACAACGTATCTTTGCAATAGTCGAAGATGTCCGTTTTTTCCTTGGATACTTGTTTGGAATTTTTGTCCCACTTGAGGCTCCAATTCGACGTTTTTTTCCTTTCTTGTTGATGATATTACCTATCGACGCTTTAGATATCGCAAAACCATGACTCTCACATCGTTTTTAGATAACGGAGTATGCATATTTCTCTTCGGAAAGAGCGTAAATGTAGTCTTCGAACCACTGCTTCGTTAAATTCGCCATTTTGAATAAAAACAAAACTTTCAAGCCACAGACGATAATTTTCACTTTTAAAAACATAGTGCAATTGCAATTACCTTTTTTGCAGCAAACGATTTTTTTTTATTACCGCTTACCAAAATCGTGTGAACAGCCTCTGTATTTCGATTCTTTTTCTTTTCTGTCGAACTTTCACATAAAAAATGCGTTAAAAATAATGGAATAAGATAGTTACTGATAACTTTGTTTAATGATACGAAGAATAAGCCAGACGGGAAGCATCTTAACTATGTTCTAACTAATTTATGTATTTGTTTTTGTTTGTTAATTGTGGCAAACAATAGAGGCTATCTGCCTAAGAGGAGGGATGCCTTTGTGTGGAACTTTCTAAGGGAAGCTGGCAAGCATAGAATGAACGGGCATAGAATGAACTCGGCGAACGGGGCTGGTTGCATGGGCGGTTTCATGGTTATGCATGAGAAAAACCATGGAACCGCCCATGCAGCCAGCCCGTTCGCCGAGATTCGAATCTCGGATCCAACTACTGCGACAATCATCAGTTTTGGTAAAACAAGCATTGAGAAATGCCGATGCAGTAAGTCGCATCATCTTTCCCTTTCTGTAATTGAGCTGTTATATTTACCTTTTATTTAACCAATTTTATTTTAAAATAAGTACTAAATAAAACAGTTGGTCTTTGTATTTCCCTCAGGGAAATTTGGCAAGTTACACCGCCAGTACTCACCGATTTCCCCGCTCCGCCGCTGGTAGGCCTCACCCCATAAACATTTTTCAGCTGATTAAAGGGAAAAATTATTCGTTAAACTTTCAAGTAATTTCTGTGTCTATTCAGTATAAACTACTTCCCCAAAAGTCCTTACCTGACTTTTATTTTCGCAACCGTTGGCAGTAAACATATTATTACTTGCAAGTACAAAAATATTTTAAACGACGCAAAGATTCATGATTTCGCTTTTATCAATTAAAAAAAGTTAATCTTACAAAAAATGCGAAATTTAACTTGTTATGCATTCCACCGTTCCTGTACTTACACTTTGGAAAATTTTGTTCCTTGTAAAAAATCAAACACAAAAGAATTCATTCCCTCCATGCCTTCTCTGGATGCGAACTAAATTGTGCAACAGAAACTGATCGAGATGTTTGCTATTAAAATCGGGAATCATATTCACAGGCCGTATACATTTGTACCGAGCTAAAAATAAAATATCAGTTTGGAAAAAGGTTTCAAATGTTAACAGATTATGTGATAAGTATTTCTAGGCAGAGTATCATGAAAAATGATTCCCCCCCCCAAATGAAATCTTATTTACAGAATTCGTGTTCTGGAAAAAAAATGGTAGTCTTCAGTACTGGTACGTTGTCAGTTCGTAATGTTATTTGCATTAATTAAAAATGAAAAATATTTGCAATTTAATAAATTTTTTTTATGATTACCAGATTATGATTCTAAAATTAGTAAAATAAAAATTAAAGAAGCCTTAAAGCTTTCAGATTTTATATTACGTCCAATGGGGCGTTCTTTGAATGTTTCGTGTGTTACCTTTATTTATTTAAGTATTATGTTCTTCGCACTTAAACCATAAAATTGAATTCAACAGCAATATCCCAAAATATTTAAAAAGATCTTCTAATTTATATCTTTAGAATATGTCTTTTACACAGTCTGGCGCGCTGGAGATAATTTTTTTCCCGTAAGGTGTTGCCATTGCTGGCTTTGAAAGCGTTGAGTTTGTTAATTAAAAATTGGTTAAAGATTTAAAAAATATGAAATAGGTAATAAAACAAATTCCAAATTTGGACTTCCAGATGCCCATATTCGAGTGAAGGACTACGTTATGCAAAATTTGATGTCTCTAGAAATCATTGTTTTTTCGCGATGCGAGAAACATACATACATTCATGCAGATTCTTTATGCTTTAATTTCTTTAAATATAATGCAGGACTCTAATATTAAATGACAGCAATTTGAAAAGTGAAACGCCGTTTTATGCAATGGGCGACGCAAAATGCCAAAACGAAATCAATAGCTCCTCTGGATAAATTGTCCCTCTGAACTAATAATAATTTAAGTTTAAAATAATTATTTTCTGAAAAATAATATTTTTGAAACACTGCAGATATTCAAAAGAATTATTTTCGCGAAAATCGTTCTAAACATGTATTAGATCGTATTACGTTATGGGAAGACATGCAAGTTATATCTATTTAAAAGGGAACGAAAGCTTTCGTGGAAGGCTTTTTAAGGAGAACTGATTTTATTCACTTTATATTTGGGAAAAGTACTAAAGTCTTGCAGGCAACTCATTTGCAGGGATTTAAAGCCAATTCAAAGTGTTCAGCGGACTAATTACTATCTCTACTAGTGGGGGCTAAACATGTGTAAAAAGCCTCTATATATTAACAAAGTTTCATTGAGAGGCCTTTACTAGTATATTAAAAGGGTTACTACACATGAGTGTAGGAAAATAGTAGTGTTAACTGGTTTGGAGTATTATTTACTGTGAATGCTTAAATATCTGGTATTATTTTCAGAAAAGGAAAGATCTTTAATCTATATTAATCAGAATCAATTTTTCTTAGGAGTTGATTTCATCAAAGATGTATCGGAGATGCCTAGCACTGGTTCCACAGACATGGGCAACGTGTCTCACATCATTCCTTCCATCCATCCTATGTTCAATATCTGTACTGAAGCTACTAACCACACAAAAGAATTCACGAAGGCATCTGGAGCTCCAGAGGCCCAAGAACCTACTCTGAATACAGCAAAAGCTATGGCAATGACGGCCTTGGCAGTTTTACGGTCACAGGAGACACTAGATGAGGTGAAGAGAGAATTTTCATCAGATATTCAACACAATTTGCAGTACCAGTGACTATTAAACATAATATCTAGTTAATCTTGAATGTAGCAATATGTGACTACTGTTTAAAAGTCACACTGCCACTGGCTATAAATCTCAGCATTCATAGCATTTTAAAAATATTCTCATGTGAGCAATTTTTTGACGTTAGATTCATTGTGGGTCATTTTTTATGATAATTTTATTATTAATTATTGTTATAAAATTTAGCAAGTTATAAACCCTTGAATGCTCTTTTTTGTCTGTCTTACTTTTTATTAATATAGTGAGTGAGGTTTTTGGCGCAAAACCAAAGATGATTATAATGCGCCAAACACAATTTGGGATGATCGAGATTGATGAAATTAAAATACAATAAATAAAAACAGGTGAACAAATGTACCAAATCCATAGGATGAAATCATATAAAAACAAGGTAAAAGCACACATTAAAATCCAAGATACAATCTTCGAAACAAATTACCATTACGTAATAAAAGCCAGTCTCTTTTAAATAATAAAATAAATTACAATTGGCCTCTCTTCCGATTAAACGGTCGAGAGGTATTAAAATATTTCTGACGAAGACTATTAAAACATGGACACTCAATTAAAATATGACGGACAGATAAACAAACATTACAATATTTACACACAGGCTCATTCTCAGCTTTCAAAAGGTAGTTATGTGTCACTCTAGTGTGATCAATTCTGAGGCGAGTCAAAAGAACTTCCTCGTTACGATTTCCAGCAAAATCCCAATCCTCGATTCTAGGCTTTACATTTCTCAACTTGTTGTGAAGCTCAACATCCCAAATTTGTTGCCATTTTTTCTGGATCTTCCATTTGATGACACAACAGATGTCTCTAAAAGGGATAAGGCAACTGGACAGTTCAACAGCAGATTTTGCTGCGATATCTACAAGCTCAAATTCCCTTTATTCCCTTTATTCCCGCAAGTCCAGGAGCAGAGCAGTACAGGACTTCATATCCTCGAATCGTTAAGTTTATATGAATCTTGAGAACATACACTACCACAGGATTCTGAGTGTTGGGAAAAGCTTCCAACGATTTATGAGCACTATACGAGTCTGTATAAACTATGAACGTTTTGTGGCAGAGTTCCAAGATGTAGAAAAGACCATAATATATTGCAGTTAGTTCAGATGTTAGGACTGAGAAAGCATGGTGCAAGCATCTGCCCTCTATGTGATCTTCAATTACAAATACCATCCCAACCATCCCAAGATGAACATTTGACTTGGATCCATCTGTATATACTGGAAGATAACTGCTATATTTATGCCTTCGCTCAGCAAAGAATTGTCTGTAAATGTCGTTAGTGCTTGCTTTCACGGGATGGTTGAAAACATCAAGAAGCTGAATCCGTGTATTTTCGCAAGGTAGGATTTCAAAATTCTGCACTGCTTGGGGGCACATATCAGAGAGGGAAAGTTTCTTAATGACAGGGCGAACTCTTTTTTAAAAGGGAAAGGAGGCACACAGGATGGACAAAGTAAAGGTAGGCACACAGGATGGACACAGGAAAGGTAGGCACACAGGAAAGGTAGGCACATAGGATGGACACAGGAAAGGTAGGCACACAGGATGGACGTGTTTCAAATAAAGTGTTACACGCATTATCAAGTAAGCACAGATTATTAACATGTTTAGGTTGCTATAGAATATTAAAATATTGCAAAAAGGTCAATCGCTCACGCCTCAGAAAAAGTGATGGTTCGTTACAGTCAACATACAGTCTCTGGACAGGAGAAGTCCTGAAAGCTCCTGAACAAATACGCAGAGCTTGATGGTGAACAGGATCTAGTTTTAACAATACTGATGACCGAGCGGATACGTAAACAACTGAACCATAGTCCAGTCTAGAGCGGGCAAGCGCTCTGTAAATGCGAAGCATAGAGCACGCTCTGCACCCCAGGAGGTGTTCGGCAACACTTTTAAAATATTTAGTGTTTTTAAACATTTCTTTCTGAGGTTTAAAACATGAGAAAGGAAAGTCAATTTTCGGTCGAACGTCACTCCTAAAAATTTTACTTCAGGCGCAACTGGAATAATTGTACCATTCAGATATAACTCAGGCTCAGAATGGAGACCTCGCTTCCTACAAAAGTGCACGCACAAAGTTTTCTGTTTCGAAAATGTAAATCCCTGTTTGTCTGACCATTATTGGGTCTTATTCAGAGCCATCTGCAATTGCCTCTCTACGTATCTCATGTCTGCCCCTCGACAGCTAATCTGTAAATTATCAACATATAGAGATCCCAAGATGGTAGGAGGAAGTTCTTTTAATACAGAGTTTATTTTTAAACTGAACAGGGTTACACTAAGCACACAGCCTTGAGGCACACCCTCTTCCTGTTCAAAAACATCCGACAAAACAGAACCAATCCTTACTTGAAAAGTTCTAGTGTTCAAGAAATTCTGAATGAAATTTGGTAGGTTGCCGCGCAAGCCACTCTTGTGAAGATCCCGAAGTATACGGTGTCTCCATGCCTTATCATAAGCTTTCTCAATGTAAAAAAATACCGAGACAAGGTGAATTCTTCTTACAAAAGCTTTTCGAATGGATGTCTCTAAGAGGAGTATGTTATCTACGGTTGTTCTCCCCTTTCGAAAACCGCTTTGCTAATGCGATATAATATTATTCTTTTCCATGAAGTAGACTAGGCGGCTGTTTACCATTTTTGTTTCCAAACAGCTTGCATACGCAGCTTGTAAGGGCAATTGGCCGATAGTTGGAGGGATTTCTTGGATCTTTCCCTGGCTTAGCAATAGAAACTACAACAGCTCTCCTCCATGCACTGGGAAAAGTACGCTCCTTCCACACTCTATTGTAAAGAGTGAGAAGGGAAGTCAGTGACTGACATTACAGATGCTTTAGTATTTCCTAATTCCCCCATCAAGACCCGGAGAAGACCTATGTGTCTGCAAAAAAGCAAAAGCTCTTCTTAATTCAAGCATAGTCTCTATTGCAAGGCTCAGATTTGGAAGAGTTAAATTTCATGGGATTTATTTCAGAGTGCTGCTTGATAGAGAGAAATGCAGGTGAATGGTTTCTGCTGGAAGAAATGGCAGCAAATGTCTCACAGATAGTATTCGCAATTTCTTCTATGGAGCTAATCACTCTCCCATCTTTTAAGTGAGTAGTCTTTATATATTCCGCATGCTTTTCGAACTCTTTCCGAAACCCGCTTACTAGGCGTAGAGGATGTTATTGATGACACACATGAAATCCAGGAATCCCTCTGGCTCTGCCTTCTTACTTTTCGTGCATTTGCTCTGGCTCTTTTAAATGCGATAAGGTTTCGTAGGGTATCTACGAAAAATTCCCTATTCTTTTTTTTTTTCTTCTTTTTTTTTCAGTGCCTCATGACAGTCACGATTCCACCATGGTTTCCAATTTTTTAGAATTTTCCTGATGTTCTAGGGATGGAGAGCATAGCTGCCTTAATAATAGTATTAGTAACTGCTTCAACTGCATCATCGATATGCACATCTTCTACCATGTTTTCTGTGAGCTCTGCAGTGGAAGAGAAGAGTTCCTAGTCTGCCCTATAAAGTATAAACCGGGCTGATCTCGACATGGTGTGTGCTCCTCTTCATGCAAGAGACACAAAAATGGGATAATGATCGCTGTTGTAAAGATCAGTTCTGACACTAAAAGTGCAAAATGGCAACAGAGATGGTGAACAGATGGCAAGGTCGAGAGCGTGGAATATCCTTGAAGGCTCATGGAAGTAAGTATCCTGCCCATTTTTCAGGAGACAAAGGCTATGATCTTCAATCATCTGCTCAATTTGTCTTTCTCGGCAATTTGCATCTTTACTATCCCAGAGTGGACTATGCCGTTAAAATCTCCTATTATGATAAAGGGGTGAGGCAGCTGCTCTACGAGACCATTTAAATCTTGCTGATCAATGTGCTCATTTGGAGGCAAATACAGAGAAACGACTGGAGACAACAATATGAAATTTTGCTTGAGTAGAGACAACTTGGAGGGATGTCGTCAAGGGAAGTGCATTTGATGGATAGTCCCAGTGAGATGAGGAGGCCTACACCCCCACTGGAACGCTTACCTGCAAGATTATCCTTCCTGACTAAAGAAAACCTCCGAAGTGTTGCTTGTTCCTGTTTCAGATTTGTTTCCTGTGTTGCTAAGCACACAGGATTATAAGCATTGATTATATTATTTGATGTTGAGCAAATTTCGGTGGGAAACTGAGACAATTCCAAGACATAAGGGTGGCCATTATGTTTCCTGTTTATTTTTCCAGTGCTGCTTTTTTGTCTTTCGAGGAAGGAGGTGTTTTAGGATTTCCATTGCCTCTACTACTTTCATATTATCCAAATCCGGAGTGTCAGAGATAGAATCGTCAATTGAGCTATTGCTCAGATTTCGGTTTTTGTTAGCTGTTTTTTGTAGGCTTGTTTCTGGATTTTTCTGAATTACTATTTCCTTCTTCTGGATTGTGTGAAGTGGGTCTTTCTTGTTTTTGTTATTAATTGGAGGCTTTTGGCTTTTTGTTGATGAAAAGAAAGATGTTTGGATGGCAACTGATCTCGTGGACTTAACAGCATTGGCAAAAGTTAAATTTGGGCACACTTGTGAGCTTTCTACTATTTTCCTGGCTTCAGCATAAGATACGTTTCTAGTTATTTTTATCGCCTGAATTTTCTTTCCAGATTTCCATTTAGGACAAGAGCGAGAAAATGTGGGTGTTCACCCTTGCAGTTCATACACAAAAGGCCCAGCGGTGCAATTATCACTATCGTGGCCAACCAACGAGCATCTGGCTCACGTAAGGTTGCTACGACAGGACGTCTTAGAGTGACCAAACCGCTGGCATTGGAAGCATCGCATTGGGTTGGGAATATAAGGTCTTACGGGGGACAGTTAAGATATCCAGCCTTTATATTCTTCGGCAGATCAGGCGATTTGAAGGTCAGGATCACGTGTTTTGTGTCAATCAACTGGTCTTCCTTTAGCCTCTTGATCCGCCTAGCACCACAGACATTTTGGTCAGCTAACTCGGAGACGAACTCTTCTTCTGAAACACACAGAAGGTCGATCTCCAAGATCACACCTTTACAGGAATTAAGTGTTCTATGAGCTGACACAGTTATAGATACTCGTCCAAGTTTGGTTTGATGTAAAAGTGAAGCAGACTGGGTGGCCGAAACGGTATCAATAAGCAGGTCTCCAGAAGGTAGACGCTTTATGTTCCTTGGTTCACCTATGCATGAATGAATATATTTGCTCACCAGGAAAGGAGACATCTGTGCAATTCTCCAGAGCCACTGTAAACAACAACAAAGAGCGGACAATCAGTAGTTTCTTTGGCATCTGCATCGGTACCTATCTTCTTGCTAATGGATTTGTCAATAATTTCGATATATTGGTTGGTTTCATTTGGCTCAGGTTTTTTTTTAGAATAAAAAGAGAAGCCATGATTGAAAGAGATAAAATTCGGATCCGACGGCCCCACCCACCACGGAGCCCAACAAGGGAACACAGATTCCTGTGTTAGGGCTAGCCGTACCTATACGCAAACTGAAGCCCCACAGTTGGCTTTCGCGAAAGCAGGTACTCCCGAGAGCTTATCCCCAAGTCACTGGAAAAGTATGAAAATTTTTTTTTAAAAAAAGGAAAAAAAATTCTGAAAGGTTTCAGATAGTAATAGTCGCCCAAAAGTTTTATTAAGGTATTTTACGCTCTCGTTGAGCTCTCAATCTACCCGTCTGCTGCTACACTCACTTCTACTAATCCATTTTTGTTGCTTTTTTAGCTTTATTATTAAACATCATTTCCTTCGCACTTACGCCATACACAATTCAACAGCAAAATTACAGAAAAATTTAAAAACAGCACAGTAGCATATGTTTAGAATTTCCAATGCCGTATTAAAGTGTTGGAATACATTTTTCTATTCTTTTCAAGTCTTTTGTCATTCATCATATCAATGTTCCCTTTTTTAGCAAGATGGGTTGCAAAACTTTTTTCTCCTTTTTATTATGTCGGCAGGTCTACTGTCTTAAAGTGTACTTTTTATTATGTGTGTATTGTGTATTCACTTTATTAAATATCATGTTCGCGTTAAATATCCTACTCTTACACATATTCAATTCACAGCAAAATCAGAAAATATTTAAAAACAGCCTATGTTTAGAATTTTGGATAAACACTCTCGCGCGCTGGAGATAATTATTTTTTCGTACAGTGTTGCCATTGCTCGCTTTAAAACCGTTGAGATTTTAATCAAAAGTTCGCTAAACTTTTACAAAATATGAAATAGATAATAAAATAAATTCTAAATTCAAAATTTAGGATTCCAGAAGTCTATGTGCGGATGAAGGACAACAGTTCTAAATTCGGGCTTTCAGGTGCTCATTATCGGGTGGAGGACTACATTATTCAGAATTTGATGGCTCTAAGTCCCGTTGCTTTTTCACAATGCGAGAAACATGCCTAGATTCATGCATATTCCTTATTATTTAATTTCATTAAATATAATATAGGGAGATAATATTTGGTGACAATAATTTGAAAAATGATACAGCCGTTTATAGTGATTCGACGCAAAATGCCGTTTCGATACTAATATCTCATTCCGAACGTCCGTTTTGGGTTAAAAATGAATAAAAAAAAATTATACCGCTACCATTGATGACGTTTACAACCTGAAGATACATTTTCCTTTGTTTAATTAGAGATTTTTATCTCTTCAAACGCACAGCTCATGAAAAATTTCGCTAGCTGTGATTTTTTTTGCTCCTATATCTGATAGCGCTATGATAAGCCTAAACTGACTTGCTTTTTATACTATGATTCAAAGTGAACAAGTTCAGTAACGAGATAGAACCTGTGTTACTGAGAGGGAGTAGAAATGACAGACCAGGATTTTAACATTGTTTGTTCGAAAATAGATCAAGAAAAGGAATTCTTAAATTCCGTGAGTCAGGATATATGGAAGATGCCGGAAATTATGTTTAAAGAATTTCATGCACATGCTGTTCTCACGAGCGCTTTGGAAAAGAAAGGATTTAAAATTCAGAAGCATTACTTCATGCCTACTGCTTTTAGAGCTGAATTCTCTTCAAAATTAGGTAATTTTATTCCTTTATAATTTAGTGATTGTAGATACATATTTATACATTTATAATTTAGTGATTGTAGATACATACATTCAAAATTCATTTTAGAATATTAGCTTATTATTCTGAAGGCATTGAGAATATTGTAATGTGAAATAATATTACAGTATTTCTCTTGGATTAAACTTCTTAATATTATTAAAATTAATTCTGTATAAAAGAAATTTTGATTATATATATATAAATTTAATAAAATAAATTATATATGGTTTAAAATAATATATATAATAATAATAATTAAATTCATAATTATAATAAAAGTAATAAAATAAAAAAACATCTCAAAGGTTTCAGATTTTAAATTACGGGCAAAAAGGCGCTTTTTTAACATTTTGTGTGTTACCTTTATTTATTAAATATCATGTTCTTTGCACTTAAACCATAAAATTATGTTTAAGAGCAATATCGCAGAATAATTTTAAAATGAGCATATCTTTAGAATTTTCGATACACAGTCTCGCGCGCTGGAGATAAAAATGTTTTTTTCTGAGCCTTTGCTCGCTTTGGAATCCTTGAGTTTGTTAATAAAAAAATCGTTAAAGTTTTACAAAATATGAAGTCGATTATAAAACAAATTCCAAATTTCAAATTTGGCTTCCAGATGCCCATATTCGCAGGAGGATTATGTTATTCAAAATTGGATGGCTCTAGGTACCGTTGTTTTATCACAATACGAGAAATATACATACATTTATGCAGATTCTTCATTTATTTAATTTCTTTAATATAATAGAAGACGATAATATTTGGTGGCAATAATTTGAAAAGTGAAACAACACTTATAGTGAATCAACGCAAAATGCCAAAGCAAAATTAATAGTCCTTCTGGGCAAACTGCCCCTTTCGACTAATAAAATAAAAATTTTGTTTTTAGTTTTTACCCTCATACATATACATTATACATACTAAAGAAATGATAAATTATAAATTTAATTTACTTTAAAAAACTTCCCTCAATGGCAATTTTATTAACAGGAAATCGCCAAAATTATAATTCAAACATAATTGAATCAAAATTGAAACGAAAACAAGTTATTACAACAAAGAAAATACACACAATATTAAAAAACGAATTCTATATTTTAATATTATCAACCACTAAATCATTGAATATTACTGAAAAGTACTGTCAACTATTTTTCAATATCGTGTATAGTTTGTTTTTGTTTTATTAGCTTGTTTTTGTTTCAGTTTTGATTTAATTGTTTTTGAATTACAACTTTTGAGGTTTTCGTATTAGGAAATTTGCCATTGAGGGAGGTTTTAGTTCTATTTAATTTATCTATTTCTTGATTATTTAATTAATTTCACAGCACACTGAGCGACCTTAATAACATTTATTCACAAATATTTATTAATTAATATTTTCAAAATGATCTTTAATGTGTTTATATATATATATGTAATAATAAAATTCCATAGTCAAGAATACACTTAAATTTCTAACTGTATGTTCTTTTCATTTTTATTGGCGACGTTGCCTTATTTGAAAGTACGTGGAATTAAATTCACAGCCCCGTAGTCAAGTTGTTTTTCCCGCCTTTTCTACACGTACAGTTATAGAATGTTCAGGAAGTATTTAAAGCGAACTGAATTGGCTGACGAGGCTGACGTAATTTTTTTGGAAGCTCCGCCTTTCCAGAGGCTATAAAAAGACTCGCAAAAGGAATATCGGGGCTTTTTCTTTAATGTAACAATGCAGTAAACTTCATACAAAAAGTTATTAGTAATTCTTTTTTTATTTACTCCGGATATCTGATTTTGTAACTGCTATTTTCGCCTGAAATATAATAAATGGATCCCTTTTTTTTTTAAACTTATCGTCTGATATAATTTAACCTACGACAAAAGCTGGTACATCACATATATGTAATAACTTCAGAACGTTGGTGACGTCATATTGATGCGAGATGAAGTAGTTTGTAGTCAAGTATACACAAAAGGAAGAAGCTTGCAGTCATAGCCCAAATAAATTATGTCTTCTATTCTCGTTCAGAAACATTTAATTAAGTAAACACAAATAAACTGGAGTAGTAAGCGCCTCTACTCTAGAACTTTGTACATTTGTGATATTGCGATAAGAAAAGTAGCAGCAGACGAAGAAACATCAAAAACACGTGCTACGTTTTCAAAACCGAAATTCCTTGCTCAGAATGAACTGGTTTCAGTTTTGATTGAATCCGTATTGGTTAATTTTGAGGTTTTAAAATTACAGTTGGCTAAAGCGTTATGTAAGCTATCTGCGCATGTACATTATTGACAAGAATCATATGACGGCGATTAATTTCGAAATGATGTAGCTTACAGAGGTTTATTATAAGCAGTTACTATTTTTAGAATGTAAAGGGAAAATATACAAATTACGAAAGAGGGTTAAAGGCGCAACGCAAATTGAAGTTACTATTTACGTATTTTACGCATTTGTTTATCTTACATAACAGCAGCCAGCAGTAAGTTGAGAGAAGCGAAGTGGAAAAGCGAATCCAGAATATCCAAGTTGAAATCTTAGTTCACAGTGAAGTAGTTATTATTTAAAGTTTGCTCGTGGTTAAAAAAAAAAAAAAAAAGATTTCAGTATTGGTTGTTAAACATATCGATTCCCAAACCTGAAGGCCTACCAGCGGCCGAGCGGTAAAGTCGCTGAACAGTAGTAGTTCGGTCCGAGGTTCGAATCCCGCGAACGAGCTGGCTGGATGGGCGTTTTCGTGGTTTTCCCTATGTGTAACGTGTATACGAGCCAGTTTCTCTTAGAAAGTCCTCCACGAAGGCATCCCTTCCCTTAGGCAGATAGCCCTCGAGGCTTTGCCATTATCACACACACACACCCAAATCTGAAATCAGAGTACTCCTTACTTATATTATGTAAGAACCGTATGATGACTATCAATTTTAAAATAACGCAGTTTGGAGAGGTTTATTATAAGCAATTATTATTTTTGAAACAGAAAAATGCAAATACTGGAAGAATTAAAATAAAGATTCAAAAGATTATTGCAAATTCAAGTTAGAATTTTGCCTTATATATTTTTATTTTACACACAAAAAAGGCAAAATTGGACGCTACTATCAAGCTTTTAATCATATGATCTTTCACTTTAAATTAACTATGCTTATCAGTAGTCAGTGTGAGACATTTTGAAAACAATTTATATGTTTTAGCCCTTTTCTCGCTTTTTGGTATCAAAAGAATTTTTAATAGGACATTTGATTTTCATTTGACACGGTCTCAGTTTGGCGATTTCATCGTCTGTGCAAATAAAATATTCGACTTCTGCAAAGAAAATCATATTACGTTAATATACATTAACCCTACTTTAAGTATTTAGATTTAAGGCTGTCATTCGTATATTGTTATTGAACAACTGAAGTCTCACCCGTTTGTATACGAAAACATGGAAAATGCATCTCTTATTGTGATTAGCAATTCCGTTAATATATTCAAAACTCTGTAAAATAATATTTTTAAATGAAGAAATGGATCCAAATATAGTCAACACAAATTATAAAAATTATTAAACTACAGAGAAATTTCTCCAAAAGAATTCTGTTGCGTGTGTACGGGTTCGTAATAGACTGAACGCAGAAGCCCGATAAGGTTAATAAAATTAATTTTATCAAAAGGAATATTTCAGAATTCTGGAATTTTCCACAGAAATACTCCTATAAATGTCACAGTATCACACAGTGCAATCAGTAGTTACATTTCAAACTACTAAAAACGTTAAACACAACGCACTGCAAAGTTCATCTAAACAAAAAGCTAACTCGGATATCTCAGTTCACGCGTAACTAAACAACTCGCAACAATAATAACTAAACAACTGAGAGCAGATATTCTCTCTTCGGCCTTAAATAATTTTCAACCGGCTGAGAGATATTTCTAGTACTTTCTGCTTCTCGAAATTACTGTAAAGCAGTGAGAATGTGGGATTACGGTTATAGCTAACATAGTGGTAACAGTATATTTACCACAGTAGTGTAACTCGAAATAATGCAGTGAAAATTCTTCTCTATAAAACCGAGAAAAAACTATTGAAACTGGCACCAATTCTACGCTAACATTAATTTTGCCCTCATTTGATAGAAAGTTTTCCTGAAGATGAATTACAGGAATGGCGTTTGACTTGGCAGCATTAAGTGCATGTGGTTTTAATTATGGTACAGAACTAGTCGAAAAATTATGAGTAAAATACAGTAACTTATTAACAGATAAAACAGCTGTTTCTCACCAATACAATGACTTTAAATTTGCCATGAATAAACAAAAATAAGTGTAATCTGATAACAAATTTTTCAGAAAATGGTAATGTTTTCGGAAAATGGTAATGTTTTTATTACAGAATAAAATTTTTCCAAACTTTCAAAATTAATGAATGTTGGCGGAACATATTTGGCATCTAAATTTGACTGTAAACGAGGTTTCAGTTAAATGAATTGATTTATAAGTAAATATATAAATCGTTTGAAAGACAAATAAGTTAGACATGTTAACGAGAATAAAATTGTATTTAAGTAGTGGAAACATTATAAATTCGGATCGTATATATGCGAAATGGTTAAATTTTAAAGACAGATGAGAATTAATTTAACCATTTGGCGGTTGCGAAATTAAATAATTCTTTTTCCCCAAATACAAGCGATATCTGCCAGTCGTTAAATTTGTAATGCGTGCTTTTTCGGTTGCACTATGATGCGTTACTGGAACGGAAGCTGAGCTCATTGATGACCATCAAAAGATTAATATATCTTTATGTAAACATAGCATTTATTTATTTATTTTTGATAAATCTGAGTATTATTAGTATTTGAGTTAAGCTATATTTGAGTAAGTAATTTGTTATGCTTACATATATACTGAAGTGACAAAAGTCATAGGATACCTCCTAATATTTTGTCGGTCCTCCTTTTGCCCGGCGAAGTGCAGCAACTCGACGTGGCATGGACTCAACAAG